GAGGATTTTGCGGCGCGGCCCCATTGGCCGCCACCGCCCATAAGTTTTTGCTCCGGACGGGAACTTTTCCCAGGGATGATGGAGTAACCCCGGGCGGCTCCGCGCCCGCTCCCCCAGCCGCCCCGGGCCAGGCAGCCACCGCCACCCGGCAAGGATGAAGCTCTGCGGGACTTTCCTCGGTTCGTACCCGTTCGCCGGAGGATGGGAGGGGTGGGGTGTGAGCGTAGGGAGGCTGTTCCTCAGTGTGTCTCCCCCGTTTCTCCTCTGAAACACTTGCGTTGCTTATTTCTGCCTAAGTCACGCCTTGGCAAAGGGGCTTGGTTGCCGTGAGGGGGGAGGATCGTGGCCCCACAAATTACCCGGTCCCTCCTTGTTTTATATTTTCCTCCCCAGTGTCGTGGCAGAAAGGGATTTCCGAGTGTATTTCAGAGCGCAGTTTTCCCGTGTTTGCGTTTAGCAAGCGAGGTCCGGGTCTCACCCCCGCCCCTCCTCGCTTTGCTCCGGGCTCGCCTGCGAAAGGTTCCAGGTGCGGGGGGTTGCGGCCCCCGGTGCTGCTGCTCCGAGGCACCGGCGGGGCTTTGTCCCCACTGCCGCGGGTTTCACCTAATTACAAAGGACGAGGAGCGAAGGGAAGGGTGGTGAGGAGAAAATCCTGTTTTCTGCAGCTTCTGGTCACAGTTCTTCAGAGGAAAGGGGTGGTGGTTTGATTTGGCTTTGTGTTCCCCCCCTCTCCCCCCGTACATTGTTGGATAATAAAGGGGCGGGGGGTGATGTTATTAAATAAAAAGTTAGTTCGTGCCTGTTCAGCCGGTGTGTGTTTCAGTGCCTGTATTAAGTGAGGCACAAAGGAGGAAGTTTTGGGATAATGCGAGGTGCCTTTTGCAAAAGATGGTGATTGCTCCAATTGTTGTCCTTCAGGGAGAAAAGAGCTCTAGATTTGGGTTAGACAAAGGCATTGCCTCTTCGGGAAGGAACCGCCCAAATCGGGGAGAAGGGGCGCGCTGGAGAGCGAGCAAAGGGTTATTAAAAGTTTTTTGTGCCTGTGCATGTTGTTCCATCTGCCAGGGGCCTGTAGTGGGCAGGTTTCTCTGCAACCCTTCAGCTGTTCCATATACAATATTAATGCTGGCCATTTCTATTCGGCATACAACAGCACTAATTGTAGTCTGAGGCATTAAGGCAGCCAGCCCATCTGCATAGAAGCTTTCAGAAAGAAACAAGGAGAAAAAAAAAGAATCTTTCACCCCCAGCTGGTAACCGGAGAAGTTGGTGCCAATTACGAATGCGTAAAGTTTGAGATCTAATTTTCTTTGAAACAGACTCAAAGAAGCCAATGGAACAGAGTGCGGTGGGTTTATGTCTGTGTTTACACAGGCAAATGGAGTTTTATTTTAAATAATTTCAAACTTGAAGCGCTCGATCTGAAAACATGAGCACAGTAAGATTAAAAAAATCCGGCACGTAGAGCAGGGGAAGGGAGGGGTGTGAAGGGGCTCTACTTGTAAAAATCCTCTCTAGGTTCGGCCCCGCAGGCAAGGACCCTCGGAGCCCCTGTCTCAACACCCTGAAGATGAAAATACGTGAACATTTAATTTATACCTCTCTGCTGCACGGCTCCCTTTAGGGAAGCGACAGCTCTTTCAGACCTGGAAACGCGCGATAATTATCTCCTCTCTGAAAACAGCTGTAAAGTGACTCTGGAGAGACTGGGGGGGATGGGGAGGGAGGGAGAACATAAAAAAAAAAAAGGTTGAAAAATGCTTTAAAAAGTCGCAACTGCGCCGAGGAGGGAGCGGGCGGAGCTGTCCGTGGTGCTGACCCGCCGCCGCTCTGGAGCCCACGCGTGGCCCCGCGTTCCCCCGCGGGCTCCTCCAGCGTGGGGGGAGCGGGTGTTGGCCTGAGACAGAGGTCTTCAGGGGGTCGGGAGGAGCTTGAGGGGTGCGAGATGAGAATTCCTGCCGCTGCTGAAGTAGTTGTTGTACGTGAGAAACTCCAGGGAAAGCTGCTTGTTTGCAGCGTTTGGGGAGATTTTGGGAGGACGGCAGAGAGAAGACGGGGAAGTCTGGCGAGTTTGGGAACAAAGAAAAGCCAAACACCCTCTCGCAGCCCAGAGCTTAGTAGAGTGGTATCAAAGCTGTCAGCTGCCTCAGGGCTTCTAGGTGCGTCGCGTGTTAATAAATGCAACAACAGCAATAATAAAATTCATCTCTTAACGCTTGGAGAGGCACATGTGTGTGCTCATATCCATGCAGTGTGCGTGTGCACCGATTTATGTGGAAGCACACACAAGTAAACACGCTTCCCTCCTGCCTTCCAGCCGATCTATTGTGCTTTTGTTTCTCAAGTTTTAGCATTTCGTGTCTAAATGAAATAGCGGTGGAGAGGAGCAGGCAGCATTGTGAGCACAGAGGAGCTGAGTCCACCCAGCCCTCCCTTTGATTCTATCACGGGTGCAGAACAATGGAGATGCAGTGTAGCACCAGGCCTGCTGCCTGCAGATAAGAGTTTAATAGAATTTCTGAATGCCAAAGGTTTAGGATGTAAAATATCCCTATCTTCGTGGCGTGTCCAAAGGAGATAGAAAACAGCTTTTCAGGAGAACTCTCTGCTGAATATCTCCTTTATGTTAATGGTTTAGGAGCACATCAGGCTGGCAAGCCATGGAAATGGGCATCGTAAGAATCTCCAAAGTGGCCTCAACAGTTTAAAATTAGTATTTCTGTCGCCCACTGCTCAGTAAAATGGCTGAGATAGGAAATCAAATCACTCCTGCCACGTGCCCTGTGATGGTCCGTGGGTGAGACAGCACAAGTGCCTGCAGTACCCACTTATGCTCGTGCTGCCAGGCAGGTGTCCAGCTTTGGGCAGCTGGAGAGGCTTTTCCTGCTCCTGCCTGCACCTGACCCAACCAGGGCAGGGGTGAACTGGAGAGGTGTCTGGGGTCTCTGTGGCTCTGTAGCTGGAGTTTTCCACAGGAGAGCGCATCCCCAGCAGGATTCAGCTTTTCCTGACAGGCTCTGCTCGCTCGGCTCTCTAAGGACTCCTGGGGTTTCTGTACATTTGTGAGCTCCTGCATCTTTTTGGAAGTCTTCATTAAGATGACAGTAAAGTCTTAATTGTCTCGGTGATGCTGGGGATGGCACGAGGGTTCAGGGAAAACCACTGGGTAGAAAAGTGTCCCCCCCACCCCGTGGGGCTGCAGCCTGCCTGTGTTTTCCCCCGCTATTCCCAAAAAGTTGTAATCTAAGTGCTAATGCTCCGATCTGTCAGGGGGCATGGATGGGATGTGCTAATGCCCTTCCTGCCACACGGTGCCGGGGTCTCTCCCCAGAGCCTCCCTCCTTCCAGCTCGGAGAAGACTTTTTCCTCCCAGAGTGGCCAGATCTCCACCAAGCAGAGCATTTTCAAGGAGAAATGATGAAAGTGTGACTCTTTCTGAGAGGAAAAGATGCATAATGCAGGAACATGCACTTTTCTCACTTAAAAAGAGTCTCCACGCTATCTTAGTCACTGTTTTCTTTTAGGACTTTTCCTTGTGTTGTTCTTCCCATCACAAAGTCCAGAATGTAACCCCTGAGCCATGATCTCTCTTTCCCGGAGTGAGGTGTTGTCTGCTGGGAATTTGCGTTGTGTCATCATTATTTTTTTTTTTTCCTTTTAAGGGGAGGGGAAAAAAAAATAAAATATTTATACACCTTTTAACCACTCACTTTTGAATATGTATATCAGCTAATATGCAATACTTCCAGGTTCATAGAGGCGATAAATTTCCCAGTCTGTTCTTTATGGTGATAGGTCATCTTCCTAACCACCAATAAATATTGTAAAGTACTTTCGCTGGAGCTGTGCTAACCCAGGGCATCTGTCACTCGCTGCTTGCTGCTATTAGGAATTATTGGGCCGTACCACGCTTCGGGATGCGCGGGGGGGACACGGCACGGCGCTTGTCGTGCTCGCCGTCCTTTTGTGTTGCTGCTATCACAGGAGCCCCGAGCCTCGTGCATATTAATTATGAATCAGCTCGGGTAAAATCATTCACCTTCTGCTGGGTCTTGGGGAGGGGGGAGTGCGAGGAGAGAGGGGCTGGCGGGGCTGGGAGAGCCCCAACTCTCTGTGCACTCAAGGCAGCAGCTCCATCTCTCTCGCTCGCTCTCTTTGATGCTATACTGTAAATTTATTTCACCTCAGAGAGTAAACAGATATATTGCAACCCCAAGGGTTCATGGGTAGTGTATTTACAAAGGGAAGGCGCAGCAAGCCCCCTCTGTGCCATTTCCATTAATGAGAGCGGTCATTAAGTAAATGAGACATTGCCTTTAGCAGGCTTAAGAGTTCACACACTAAGGAGTATCAGATATTTAATTGAAACCAACAACCCGTCTTACACGCGTGTTACTGGTGTAGGGAAGTGGGCTGCCCTCCAAGAACTCTCCCCCCACAACCTCCCCCATGCAAATTTCATGATTGGTTTCCGTGATGTCATTTTGTAAAGGGGCAGACAATAGCTGTGGGGAAAGGTAAGTCAATATTATGTTCTTTCGCTGACAAAGGCAGATAATGCTGGCTTTTTTCTTTTCTCTTTTTTTTTCCTCTTGTTCTTTTTTTTTTTTTTCCCCTCCCCTCCCCTCCCTTGGATTGAGACAGAGGGGAAAGGCTTTCAGAGCTCACAGTTGATGTAAACAGACGCAGGCGTTTCGCCTTTACAGCACGAAGGCTGGGTTGTTGTTTTGAAAATTGCACTGGAGAACCGGAGGGATTTTTATGATGATCATCATGCTCCTAGGTCCATCTTTGCTCGCTCGCTCTCTCGCCGGATGCGAGACGCTAGTGGACATGTTATGCTTCTGACTGAAAAGAGGTTGAATAAGATGAGAAAGGAGGAGATTTACTGAAAGAAAAAAAAAAAAAGCACAACGTCGCATTCAGCCGGGAAACTTTCTGAATATTTCTGGAAGAGGATGCTTGCCGGGTTTGTGAACCGCGAGATCGGTGGATGTTTATCAGGAGGGAGGTGTTAGCAGAAGACGCTCCCGGGCGCCGGGAGGAGTTTGCGCCGGCGGCGGCGGCCCCGCGGCCGCGGAGCTCTCGGAGGTGCTGACGGCCGGGCGCGGGACCGGCTCCGCGCGTCCTCCCGGGCTCCGCCCACACCCCAGCCCCCTCCTGCAAAAACTCCAGCCCAAGTCCGCAGCTCGCACTCCCGGGCGCCTGGGAGCCCCGCGGACCTCGCCCGGGGAAGGCGGGTGGCGGAGGGCTTGGCGGCTCCCGCTCCCATTCGCCGGCGGCTGCTCGCTCCTGGCACTGCCAGACTTTTATTTTTTTCTCCTATTTTTTTTTTTTTCTTTTCCGCTCCCCCCCCCTCTTCTTTCCAAATATTGCCTACTTTAGAGTTCTCTATTTATAGCAGCGAGGCACAAGGGAAGTGTGCCATGTTTGCGGATTTCTCTCTATACGTTGACCACGACAGAAATCTGCGTGTTCTTATTTTTAGCTTGCTCGGAAGAGGCTTTGCTTGGCTAATCTCTTTATCAATTTTAGCAAAGTTTGTTGCCGTTGTTGTTGCGTGGGTAATTTGGGGAGAGAGCGAGGGGCAGGGGGCTGGTGCCTGAGGATGTGCTTGCGATCGACCCCGGCGAGTTAGGCTGAGTTTGGGGTGCAGTTTGCCGGCGGGTAGGATCAACACTTCGAGAGGGGGCCCCAAAAGGGGGTCTCGCGGCATCCCTCCGAGGTCTCCCACGTGAAAGAGCAGGTCGGGGGATCAAGCCCTCTCGGAGCAGGAGGCTTGAGGCATGCCAACCCCCCGAGCCGGCAGGGGAGGGGGCAGGCTGCCTCTCACCCGCTCCCCCGAGCGGGCCGGGCAGTGTGCGGGGGACAGCCGCTCTTCTGCTATTGTTGAGCCCCCTCGCTCCGAAGAGCCGCTGAAAACAAGTGCAAAAAGCCCCGGCTAAACCCTCGCCATCGCCCTGCCGCTACTTTTAGTTAATTTTTTTTTCTTTCTTTCCCTCTCTCTCTCGTTGGCTCATCTGCTGTTATTATCAGCCTTTTCCATATGGCCACTTTAATTAATGGCAGACAAAAGGGAAGTTGGGCGCGGGCGGGGGGGTGGGTGGGGGGGAATCTAGAATTAGAGTTTATAGTTGGTTTGTCTCCCTCTGATGCTGTCATAGAAACCAGAAGCAAAGATGCCGCCTTTCCACTTCTTTGTATGATCCTGTTTATTGTTCCCGAGCGGCGCAGATTGGAGCAGGCGCGTGTTGCAAGGCACAAACCAGCGCCGGCTGCTACGGCCGGGAAACCCGGGCATAACTTGTCCCCTTCGGCTCCTTCAAACCTGCCTGCCGTCTTCCCTCCCCTCCCCTTCTTCTCCTGCCTCGGGAAGAACAAGGAGAACTTGGTTTTCCTTTTTAGCTTTCTCCTTTTTTTTCCCTTTTCTTTTTCTTTTTTCCTTCCCAAGTGATGTTGTTCTGTGGGATCCCCGTCGCACAAGGAGTAGGAAAACTCCTGAAAGTTCGTTTTTTTCCCTTCCTAGAAAGCAGATCAGAGTTGTCCCCTGTGTCCCGGTGGAATTGGGGTCCTTGTACCCCTGGAACAGCAGGTCCGGTTCTGTCCCGGGGTGCTGTTACAGAGGGAGTACCGACCCCGCCGGGGATGGGCGGCCGCGGTCGAAGGTGGCGACTTTCCGGGGGTCCCGTCCAGGAGGGGTCTGGGCAGGCAGTCCCGCTTGTCTCCTGCTCAGTCCCGGGGGAAGGGACCGTGAATCCGCACCCCCTTCCCCCACAGGGTCACCGCCGGCCCGCGGCAACTCTCGTGGGGAGAGGGAGCAGCGGGGCCGCTGTAGGAAAGTCAGAAACTCCTCCCGCCACGTCCTCCTGGGAGCACCTGCCGTGGGGACCCCCGGGGCTTGGCCCGGCTGGAGGAGCCACCGCTGCGGGACGGTGCTTAAGGTCACTGCCAAGGGTGGCTTTGGGATGAGATGCCTCCTCTACTTCGGGCAATTCCTGGGCTGGAAGCGGGCGAGAACTCCTTCCCTGCAGAGCCCAAACGTTCCCCTTTCTCTCCCCACCTCCACTCCCTCTCGGTCCGAGCTATTCGGTGCCCGGTCCCTTTGCCCCGGGAATCATCCTTGTCCCCAGGGCTGGGGGGACAGGGAGCAGGGGGAGAGCAGCCCGGAGGCTGGAGGGCTGCTCCCCCACATTCCCCCACTCTTGTTTTAGAGAGCTGGGCTGTACCCGAGCATGTCCCCGGGCTGGGGTGGGAGGGAAGGGGGGGGAGCACAGCGAACCCAGGTGCCTTCCAGGTGGGGATTCACCCAGCGGGGCCGGGACTGTCCCCAACAACCGGGAGCCGCAAACTGGGGGGCTGAGGGTGGGCAGGGGCAGGCGAAGCCCCGCTCTGCGTGTCCCTGCCCCGTCCCGCAGAGCCCCGGGAGCCGGAGCGGGGCGGCCGCGATCCTGGCAGCAGATGATGATGATGATGATGATGATTGAGGGCAGGCTGACTTCGCAAGACGTAGCTCGGCGTCAGAGCAGCTGCCATTTTAGCAGACGGTGCTAAACTTCCCCCGCCCGCCCCCCCGGAAGGCTCGGCTTTGGGGTGCTGCCTCCAAACTTGGGTTCTGGATGGGACACGCTGCTCTTCTTGGGCTTTGGGGGGAGCAGTGCACCCTAAGTCAGCAATACACCCGGAACAGGCTGAGTGACACAGCTTTAGAGCTCAGGAATATGAACTCTTCTCCCTCCCTGAAATCCCCCCATGGTTTTGCATCAGGGCTTGAGGAGAGCAGGAGAGGTTATACTCGTGAACCTCAGAAATCAGTCTGTGCAATGCAAAATGGTCTCTAGCTCCAGCAGGGGGTAAAGCTCTCCTTTCACAACCTCGGGTGGGGCTTATTTTGTAAGGGATGATGCCATCCCCTCTCTGAAGTTTGGGGGGACCCTCTGCCCCCAGAGAGCAGAGCAAGGAAGGGGAAGCGGCAGGTTTACAGTAAAGTCTGGAGCCGCGGCTGGGCTGGGCTTCCCAGAAAACATGAAATGAAGCGTGGGAAGGGGAGGGAGGGGCGGGGAAGCATCGCCTTACCGCTGGAATTCAGACGTGAGAGTTTAATGGCAAAGTGGGGGACAGGACCCGCTCTCCCTTTTGCTTTGTGTGTGTGTGTGTCAATCTGTAAATGGAAGGGCTTATTTTTACAGCTGTAAACTGTGTGGCTTAGTTGCTAGAGCTCTTCCCTTAATGAAAAGGCAGTCTCCTTTGTAGCTGTCGCTTTGTAGCTGTTCCTCTTTCTCATACGCGGGAGCTGAGCATGGAGGATCCACGCTGCAAAAACTTCCAGAGCTGAGAATACACTGCTGTGTGTTCCTCTTCTTCCCCCAACAACCCCCCTCTTTGGGTTATTTGTTGTGCAGATGCTGTTTGCTCCCTGGCTGTGCATGCTGACGCTCAGAGGGGAGACCAAGGTGGCCTCAGACTCCAGGTTTATTTGGCTTTTTGGGAGCTAGCAGCTGTGTGAAAGGGATTAGCAGTCTGGCATTAACTACCATTAACAGCCTCTCAGTTCCCAGGTATTTCGGGAGTTTTGACAGGGCAGAAGTTGCTGTCAGGAAACCTCATTCTTTCCACCTTTTCTTCCCACCTTTTCAGTCTTTATCCTGGATTTTACTGGTTTCTACAAAGAATAACTCCACCATCTATGTACACATGCTGTTCTCCTTGGTATGTGGTGCAGGGTCCACTGGTGTCTGACATCCTTAAGGCTGGATTGTGTGAAACTTCCCATTGTAAAATATTCTGTATCAATTCTGAGGTTGTTTACCTTTGCAAAGTAGAAGTTTGATCCACAGGCCAATCCTTAGAGAGGAGAATCCTGGTGTGAACAGAGAGGTGAGGTGATAAGCGCAGGCTGTGAAAAGTTTCTGGGGTGGAGAAATGCCTCAAAGCACCTTGCTCCAGGAATGAAATGAGTTCACATGAGATTTCTTCTTTGGGATCTGGGAACCAGGTCATGAGTAATGGTAAGAGCAGGGCTGGGACATCTCTTCTGCTCCATTCAGAGGGGAGAGAGAAATCTGTCATTTCCTGCTCCCCACGAATATTTTCACCAAGGAGAAAAAGGGCTTTTTGGGTGTATATTTGGAGGAAGCAAGTTCCCCCTCTTGGCAGGTTAATCTGTCCAAGGGAATTCCTGAAAGTGCAGTGTTGGAGAGTTCAGGATCTGCTTTGCTGGGAGCAGCCTGTGTCGTGGTTTGGCCCTTTGGGACAGGGCTGAGACATGGAAGGTGAAGAGCAGTTTCCAAGCATCTCCTTCCCATTCAGGTTCCGTGGACGTCCTCTGCACGGGAGCAGCAGCCCAGGAGGGCATTTCTTGACTTCCCCAAGCTGCTTTCTCACAGTATCTGGTGTGGGAGGGAGGTTGTTTCTGCCTTGGGAATAGCTGGAGGTGGGCACTGAGGTGAGGACATCTCAGGGGCACGAGCATGTGTTGAGCACGTATGTTTAAAGACTGTAAATGTTAAAAATCACCAGAATGGAGCAGATCCTCAGAAACTTTTAACATTGTGGGTTTTCTGTGGACTCTTTTATAGAAGGCACAAGCTGGACTTGTAAGGAAAAATGGCTAAATATAGAACACAAAACTAGTGATTTTCTACTGTTGAGGTAATTGATCCTGACAATGCTTCTGTGAGGCTTTGCTGTGGGCTTGCAGGAGGGGATGGGGAGGCAGAGAAGGTTTCTGGGCTGGAGAGGTCCAGACTGGGATCTCAGTGTGTAGTCTCGGTCTCTTTAAGCAGGAGTTTGCCCTCTGAGGGGCTGTATTTTGAACAGCACTGGCTGCTTTTTAAAGCCATGCCTCCCTCCATGCTACAGGAGCCTTTGATGAGGCAGGAAACTGGTCCAGCAGTGCCCTGGATGGACCCAGCACTGGGAATCGTGGCTGTTTTTGGGCAGACCCAAGAGGAAAAAGGCAGGCATGGCTCTGGCTTGTTTACAGGTGAATGTGGGGAGAGGATATGGGCTGGGAGTGGGCTGGGGCTTTATCCCAGCACGCTGCTCCTCTGCTTCTCCCATCAGAGCATCCTGGTGTGCCAACTGCCACACAC